TACCCTTTATAATATTCGTTATTGTTTCTTTGTTCTCGGGTTTTCGCAAATTCATTGTCATCACATGATGTTGTAGATACAATGCAAAATAAAAAAAAATGATCATACTTGGTAAAGTTGAACATTTGGTGGTGTATCGCTGAGATTGTATTCATTCAAACTTCATTCGGTCTAGGTCGTTTATTTAATTGACATGATTAGAATGGTATTGAAAGACTATGCATTTTATTTTTCATTAAGGCATTTTATTTGGTTCAATTTCTGTGCAAATTGATGATCTCAGTTTTCCAAGTGTTTGTTTCACAGGGATTTGATTGATTCTAAGATTGATGGTGAATTGACTTCCGTTGGCGAACCATTGGGGAAACAACAAGGAATACTGCACAGCTGTTTCCTACTTGTTCGAGACTCTTCATCAGTACGCACCCATGATCTTTAGGACGAATACTCTCCGATGACAATTACTGACGGTCACGCCATGTATCGCGAATTGACAGTAGTTGAAATTGGTGGGTTGAATAGTCTACGAGCGCGCCGTTTAACCTGAACCCACTGGGTTCAATCCCTGGCGGTGGGGTTATGCTTGCGTACTACTGAAAACCCCTATACAAAGACGAAATAGCTCTCCAGTACTCCCCTTTTCGCAATAGTTTCAGTAAGAACCGCCTACCATTAGAGGTTATTAGCATTCTTGTTGGACTGTTTCATGTCTGCTTCTGTGTAGGGAACTGAAATGGATGAATTAAATATGAATTTATGGATAAACTAATCGATGTCCCAAGGTTAGAAGGCCAGCAGCTACACCATGACTGGTTTGGGGTTCGACTCACGGAAAACAAACTTCCAAAACCTTGTCTAATTTAGTGGCCGGTAAGAAGCCAATTAATGAGGGAAGATTGGGATTATGAGGCTGCCTAGTAACGCCGTCTCGTAAAAACAACAGAAGTTCCTACGGAACTACAAAAGCTTACACTTTGAAGCCTTATGTTCTACTCAGAATGCATAGGAATGACAAACAAAGTATTAAAACTCAGCTCTCCATCCAGAACAGATTTCTCGTGTGTGTATGTGTGTGTCAGTCTTTGAGCCACAGAGATGTTGAGTGAGAAACAGCTGGTGATACCACCCACGTAGTAGCCCAGAGACATGCTGATTCGTTGGTGGGGTGGTGTGGAGCGATGTGGCATCCGAACAACTCACACACCACTCCGGCCCCTGGACCCACTGGTTGAAAGTCAACTGCTCACACCAATGAGTCACATGGTTATGTGGATATACATAGTTCATTCAAAAATGTTTCCTTGCGTTAACCAATAAGCTCTTAAGTATGTTATACACACTTTTTAAAAACCATCATTCAAGTATTTCTTTATGCACAGACAGACAGTTAGTTAGTAAGTTGTGTTACTTGTTCAAACGTGCACTGTATAATGAAAAGCTTGTCAAATATAAGAGAAGCTAAACAACAATGAATTGAATTGTCTTTTATGGCTAATCCGTCAGTTGACCATATTAAAGTTCACTTGTATCAAAACACACGCGCACATATTTAGCAGTTGAATGTCGAAGAAGATGAGGAATTATCTGAGATATTTTAAGTAGTCTATAATAACTGTAAATACTACTTGGTCTGGCTTTGGTGACTACAAATCTGAATATATATCCTATTAAAATTGGAGCTTTTATGTTGTACAAGCTTTTCATTATAATGTACATGTTTGAACAAGTAACACAACTTACTAACTAACTGTCTGTGCATGCATGAAGAAGCACTTGAATGATGTTTTAAAAAGTGTGTATAACATGCTTAAGAGATTATTGGTTAACGCAAGAAAACATTTTTTGAATGAACTATGTGTGTCGACATAACCATGTGACTCATTGGTGTGAGCAGTTGACTTTCAGCCAGTGGTTCCAGGGGTGAGGTGAGGTGTGGGTTGTTCGCATACCACCTCACCAACCAACGAACCAACATCTGTCTGGGCAACTACGTGGGTGGTATCACCAGGTGTTTCTCACTCAATATCTCTGTGGCTCAAAGGCTGACACACACACACACGAGAAATGTGTTCTGGATGGGGAGTTGACTTCTGTTATTTTTATTTGTCATTGCTTTGCGTTCTGAGTAGAACATAAGGCTTCATAGTGTTAGCTTTTGAAATTCTGTTGTTTTTACGAGGTGTTATTGCTAGTTCGTCGGTGGATCATTGGTAGAACGCTCGCCAACCATGCGTATGGTTGGGGGCACTCGTAAACCACGCTAAGTCAGTGGTGTGGCTGATAAAGAGGAAACGCTGGCCGTGGGGCTAATAGCTTCAGTTTGTGAGCATAAAGTCTTTGCCGCTGAAATGAAATTCGCAATTTCTAATCGAACTCGTGATTTGCAATGTAGGCGAAGTTGAACCATAACGTGGCAGGAGTGTGAACACTCCAATGACCTTGAACGCATGCTGATCGTTAGCTAACGGCACTTGTTATTATCATAACTAAAATATCAATGAAATGCTCACTAGCAACTTACCCTATTCAGGTAGGTAGTTACCTAGGGTTCTAGTAAGAAGTCGTGACCAGTAGGGTGCAGCAGGTTGGGTGTGAGGACAAATACTCGCCGAAGACATTGGCTAGGGGTCGTGCTATGTCGTGAATTGGCAGAAGTTGAAAACCATGGACTGGCCATTGGTTCGGGTCCCAGTGGCTTAATGGCATACGAGCTCGCCTTGTAACCAGAAGGTCCTGGGTTCGAATCCCGGTGGGTGCGTACTGCCGAAGAGTCCCAAACGAGGACGAAACAGCTGTCCAGTACTTCCAGGTTCTCCAATGGTTTCTCTAACTAATGTCAGGTCATGATGAAAATCCTGTAAAATATCAATGCTATTCACCAACGAAGATTCGAATTTCACGCAGATCACTTTTTTATATGGTGTTTGGACAATGCGTTAATAGCTCGTTAGGGTTAGGATCAGGGTTATCATTAGGATTAGGTTTAGGCTTAGGAAAGGGGTTGTAATTAGGGTTAATGGTATGTCAGACATTGTGAAAGCGTCCGTATTAACAGCTGATATATCAAGAAACACCAAGCACATTGATCCAACATAACCACTAATTAACGGGAAATACAAATGCGATGGAATTCAAACCTATTGCCTACTTTTGGATGAAAGTCAAGTAATCATGTCAATATGCTGGATCTCTATAATAATGATGGTAACCGGTTTTAGTCTAACGGCTATTGAAATGATCTTTTTTTGATCATGGTATGACCTGCAGGAATATTCGTTTCAGTCAGTGTAGGTCATTGAGTTGTTGTAATGTGGAAGCTCCAGGTGCCAGCTATCAGTCGGGTGAAAGTTATTATATAAATTTTTTTTAAATTTTAAATTTAAATTTTTAAATTTTGACTACAGCTTGATTCCACACCGTATTTCTTGGTACAGGTATGGAATTTTCAGCATGTGATATCGGTAGCCCAAATTTTGCAGGCCGACCATAGATATCAGGTGTGCGTCGGCAGGGGTTCGAACCCCGGACCATGTACATGGTCGGCGAGAGTCCTAACCACTGAGCCACCGACGCAGCATAATACAAATCAGTAATTCCTTCCCATTTTTCGATTCTATTCACACTTTATTCAATTTCATCATAGATGTACTAATGGACTTAACCCTAACTCACTTCAACGACTCAGGGGTTGACTTGTTACCAGGGAATAATCTCGTTGACTTAGAATATGCAGATGATACAATCCTCCCCCTTAGGCGAGGACGCTAACAAAATAGAGCAGAATCTTGTGAACAACTTGAGCCGCAATCTACGAATGTTTGGCATGCGATTAGCTCCTGCTGTGAAATGTATGATGCTACAGGATTGGACTACATTGACTCTTAGCTTAGAAGTAGGGAGTGAAGTGGTTGGTGGAGAGTGTTGACCATTTCACTTATTTGCGAAGTTGCATCAGCCAACACCAACGGGTTGATCGCTGACGAAACTCCAGCACGGATACAGAACGGTCGTTCTGCATTTGCCAGTTTTACGCCGTCTCTGGCTTAGTAGACGTGATATCCAGCTGCCTGGCGATCGAAGGGCGTGTGTACTGCTCAGCAGTCCGCTCCGTCCTCCTTCATGGCTGGATGTGAGACCTGGCCATTGGAAGTGAAAAGCCTGGTTGGGTAGCTGTCTTTGATCATAGGTGCGTGCGTTCTATCTCCCGTGTTCGGTGGTAGATGTAATAGGGTGCGCAATATTGAGGTTAGGTTTCGGTCGATTGCTGGGTAGGTGGGAAGGGAAGCCAATAGACGAGGAGGTTGTGAAGCAGCTGCATCGATTGAGATGGTTAGGGCATATGTTACGCATGCCTAGCCTAGCAATCGCTTTCCTGCACAATCGACAATGCCAGCTGACATAGGATTGATCAGGTTGGAAAAGAGTCAGCCAGTGGTGGTCAAACGAAAACACGGCTTCATCAGACAACGAAATCCACAACAGTTAGTTTATGCCAGCACGTCATGTAGGAAGGTTTAGACTGCCTCAGTGACTGTTTGGGGTCCTGAAGGTGGTAAAAACCAATGAAGGCGGAAGACAATTGGTGACATGGCTCAAAATCCTCGTTGTCAATGGCTGGCGTAGATGCATCCACTCCTCGTAACTAATAATACCCAATAAAACTATATTGTTCTTCGATATTAATATTCTTTTTGCCTCATTTGTCTGTTTACTGTCTCTGTTTAGAATGTCTTTTTACTTTCTTCTGTTGCTTTGTGTGCTATTTTAAGGGAGTGTGGCAACTGGAACTGCTGCACATCTGTACAAAGTTCTACGTTGAAACCAGTCAGTCAGTCCGTCCGTCAGTCAGTCAATCAGTCACATTGTTGAGTACTGTGTTTGAATAAATCTTCAATAATCTTAGTAGTAACTACAGTAATTTATAGTTTCACTAATGACAGAAATGTTTATTCCTCACTGCATCTTTCTTTTGTTATTTTCTCTCTCTTTGTTTCTCTCAGGATTGGAAGAAACGATATTGCATTTTGTACAAAGTACGCAGAGAAAATAAAACAGAAATATTTTTCGATTATTACAAAGATGAATCGTTTTCTAAATTTAAAGGTAAAGTTTAAAAAGAAACTTTTCTATGCTATAAATAATATACACTGTCGTCTTTTGTTTTTATTATCTCCAAGTGTTATTGAAATTTATTCTTTTTTTCGTTCTATCTGGTGATCAATTTTAACTATTATTGAAGAAAGTGTTGCTGTGGGTGGGTATGTGTGCACAGTGGAACAGTACTCAGAGAAATTCATGTATTATGAGGTGTACGTGTGTACATGAACTTTAAGGAGATATGAGGTTCTTGTAGGTGCGCATTGTGTGCGTCATTGTTTCACCAACCATATACGTGGTCCGGACGTTCTAACGCACTCCTAAACCACCTAAACAGTGGTAAGGCCGAGAAAGAGGAAAGGTTGGGTGTATGAAGCTGGCAACCCCACCCCTGGTAAAAATAAGTGAAACATCGCTGTGCTACTGAATCTTTAAAGGTCAATCTTGAAGTTAATATATATGTGTACAACTTGGGCACTGTGGTAGTAAGTGATTCCATATTAGTTTGTTTATTAGATGTATCACCACACAGCGACTGAACCAGTATTATTTACTGGATGACAAGGTTTCGAACAAAATTTATTGCGGTTCATAATCATATCAATTACAGTCACACGACTTCGAAACTTGAGTTTTATAGTTTTCTTTGTTCTCTCCTATTTGTCGTCGTAGGGGTAGTAGAGTTTTCCAGATTTTCAACTGGACAGATGTTGAGTCATTCCTATTACAGGTATTTGCAGTGGATTCGATAAACAGAGCTTCTGTTATCAATCTCTCCCTCCACCCTGTGACATTAGATTTTAAAACTGTCATCTTATCCCATCATCCTATTGTATGGTTGTGCGTAATTGCATGTAGTGAGTGGTATAGCTGAACTATTCTCTAGATTTCTTATCTAGATTTTGCTAGGTTTTTATGTTCAGCTAATCTGACTGCCCCTGTTCTACTACTTTGACCTATGCATTTGACCTGACTATCATCTCACGCAGTGCATTACATAAACTTAATTGACTCCACAGGATCATTTAACCGACAAAGCTTGCTTCTAATTGAGTTTGTGTGGGGTTTGAGAATGCCAGCCACTTTTATCCTGCCTTGTTAAGAATTCCGCGTAAGCTGGTTTTCGAGGTTCCTTCTTTGTCTGGAAGTACTACTGAGGATTTAGATTCCTTATTGTTGATGTCATTATCTTGTACATGTTTGACATGCATGTCGTCATTAATATTATTATTATTATTGTCACTATCACTGCTATTATTATTTATTTTATTTTCACATTTCCCTACATATTTCCTGATTAATTTATCAGGGTGATTATTAAGTTTCAAAGCTTCTCTTACATGTCGCACTTCCTGCTGGATTACCTGCATTTCCCGGTGAGTGATGATGTTCCCACCGAGGCTCGAACTCAGTGTCCATAGTTTCAGTGAGAAGCCGTGACCAGTGAGGTCCATATGTGAGGATGGATGTCTCACCAACGACAATGGTTGGGGTCGCGCTAAAATCACGAATTGGTAGAAGTTAGAATTCAGGAGCCATCGAATTGGGTCTCAGTGGCTGAATGGTATATGAGCTTGCCTTGTAACCGAAAGATCCTGGGATCGAACCTCAGTAGGGTGGGTGCGTACTGCCGATGATTCCCAAACTAGGATGAAACAGCTATCCAGTACCCCCTGGTTGTATTGAATTGTCATGAGTGTGTTTGTGGGAATTTGATTTGTTTCAAGATTTTCCACGGAGTGATGTCAATTGGAGAACTACTGAAAACTTCCAGGGAGTACTAGACGGTTGTTTCGTGCTGATTTTGGACTCATCATCACTACGCACCCGCCATAGGGGTTCGTACCTTCGACCTTTCAGTTTCAAGGAAAGCTCGTAGACTATTCAGCTACTGGGACCCGATTCGATAGCCAGCCTGTGAATTCTAACTTTTACCAACTCATGATTTCAGTGCGACTGGCACCGTCCGGATGAACCCTACTGGTCACGACTTCTCACTAGAACTCTGAGCAACGTCGTCCTGAAGCCAGCCAGTCACTGGCAAGTATCAGATTAATTTACATTAGTTTGTTTGTGGGATTCGAAACCCAATGGGTGCGTACTGATGATGAGTTAAAAACTAGGACGAAACAGCTGTCCAGTACTCCTTTGTTTTATTAAATTATTGAGTTTCTACTCGTGTCATTTCTAGTTCATCTTGTCTTTTTGTTTAAGTGTTGTATCAGTTTAGATTAACACTCTGATGCTGTTATGGTTGTTGTTCTATTACGGTTTGTTTGTGTGACACAATTATGACCTCTATTTAGATTATGCTTGTAACCCGGATTATATAACTATCTGCGTGTAAGCTAAATGATTTAGTCAGTCACACGTCCTTTTTTTATCAATCATCAGATCGTTGGGGCCGAATTAACATTCAAAATAAGTCAATCGGTCAACATTCTCTGCTACTGCACTTCATATTTTTAAGTTGGTAGCCGGTGCAGATCAGTCCTTCAAGTAGCATCTTATATTTTGCGTGAGTGAATCACATCCTGAACACTGAAAGTATTTATTCTGAAGGTGTTCTGAAGCCTCAGCGTTATGTCAGGGAACATAGCATCCGTCTTATCCACAGGACTGTTCCCTGTTCGGAAGTTCATGCCTGTCACAAAATGAAATTGGGACAGTGGCTGTCCCCCCAGTGGACACCACTGGTTGTCATCACTTCAGGTGACAATCCTCCGTAAGCTCTTACACGACTGCATGAGATCGAGTAGATTGCCTTAATTAGTATGATATACTTTCTCGGCACTTGCTTCACTGATTAACACAGCACCTCTTGGTCGACTGAGTCGAAAACTGAGTCTTCATGTCATGGAATATACCAAGTGTTAGATATGGATAAGCATGGCTATGTTACAGAATCTGTCGAAGGGTGAAAATATGATCAATACACCCTCTTCTTGGTCTAAAGCCTGTCTGATTTCCTCCGGTCTGTTTCTTTCGATCACCACTTAGCATAGTAAATCTACAACATTAGATGCTGTTGTTCTATTTCGGTTTATTTATGTAACATTAATGACCTTTATTTAAAGTATCATTGTAACTCAGATTACGTAACAAATTTTAAACTATCTGCATATTACCAAAACGATTCATTGAATCACATGCGTGATATCCAAAATTATTTTAAATTGCCTACACTTGTATAATGTTATGGAGGCGGCCGTTGTGCGTGTTCCAACTTCGTAAAGGCTGCCTATTTCATAAGTCTTATCTTGGTATTCATTTTTTTGTTTGTTTCGCTTTACTATTACGTAATTAATAATTACAGCATCATTAATATTAATTGTAGATTATGCTCGTCAGTGTAATTGTTTTTTTCCTTCCCCATAAGTAATTGCGGAAAAATGCACTTGGCAAGGTGTTACAACTGTTGTATGCGAATTGATGATACCCATTTAAAATGTTTAAATGGGTGGAGGTGGCTTCGAATCTCTGTTTATTATTCCTTGGGTTTCAAGTCGGATAGCAGTCGAGTTTCGACGGACCGCACACATAGGACTATCTACTGGGATCCAGTCAAGAAGTGATTTTTCCTCCCTAACACTCAGTGCTATCCCTACACCTGCTAGTCCTCGCGAGCTAGCTGAGAGGTCTCCTGACACCCTTAGAGTGAATTTTGCAGATTCACCTTGTTGACCGGATAAGGTTAAATGAATGACCACACTTGGGTCTTGTATGCGTGTCTCCGAAACACAACATACATCCATGTCTCGAGATGCCAGAGTTCTTGCTTTCTAGTGATGCCTGTTGTCCGATTTGGCAGAGGGTCCTGATGTTAAATGCCCCTATATGAAGTTGGCGACATAGTTTTAAAAGGCTATCTAAGGTGTTTCTATGGCTCTCATCGTTATTTGGGGTCACAGAGTGAAGTGAAGGTGCCTCACTAACTTGAAGAATAGTACTAACTGTAGTAGGAGAATAAGATGATGAAAGTGATGTGGGTGGAGGAGAATGATGCTCAGGAAGGCTTCATGTGCTTTTGGAAGTGTGTGGGCGGCTGTTACTTCCCGGCTACCCACACCGTGGAAGTTGATTGATTCTTCGGGTACCTGAAACACAGAGAGGGTTAGTGTTGCATGACCGCAGAGCCCAGGGGACGACTACTTGAGGCCGGTCACAGACGGCCTGTATGGACTGGTTTCTTGGTTTGGTTCCGTATTAGTAAACTTACCACCGGTTACGGAACACCGTAGGGTGAGTCGGGATGTACAATTTTTGGGGTCGACCTTTTCTAACCGCCTCTCTCCGGAGTGGAGAGACAGCATTGCTGGCTGGTATGCTGGTCATATCAGGGAAACAGCTTGCTGCTGTTACATCTCTGCTCCCCAGCAGTACGACTTCGCCCTCAGATCCCCAGCATAGTGTAAGAAAGATTCTTACACAATGCCGGTAACTGCTTTTAGTCTAATCGCTGTCGTAACAACCTTCCTGGCATGATAGGACCCGGAGGAACATTGGTTACAGTCAGTGTAGCTTGTTAGGTCATCTCGATGTGCAAGTCCGACCACCACGTCAAGGTAGCAGCTATTGGTCGGGAGTTTCAACAGCATATCTCTTTTTCACATTTTTCTTTGCAGTTTTAATTTAAGCTAGCTGTACGACTGTCTCTGAGCTTTGATTTCGTCCTCACACGATTTTCCAAATCGTTGTCCCCCCATTTAGGTTCTATTTGAGGGCCTGCTGGGTGTGTGATGTCATTCTGCAGTCTCTTCAGAGAATATCGAATTCATCTCCAGCTTCTTCAGTACATTTTTTTCCGGGTAACAGGTTGTCTGTTAGTTTGTTCCACTGCCAGAATTCCTTGTTACGTATCCTTTATGGTCGGCATTTGTTCTTTAATATGGAGACGGTGAATGTATGCAGTAGTCTGTTAGAAATGCTTACCATGAAGCGCTCGCCATGTCTGGGGGGAACTAACGGACTTGGCATTAGTGGTGACTATGCGAATCTTGTTCCTT